TGACACAGGCCAGGAAAGGGGGGGAGCGAATAAAAACATCTCCGGGGCTGAGCCAGCGAGAGTTAATGTCTGTAGTACTCTGCCCCTGACAAGCCTAATGAGACACAGGTGGTCCCCTGGCTCGAGCAGACGCTGGTTCAGTGCCCAGGATAGGGAGAGGGGGGTTCTGCAGTTCCAGGGGGTGGGGCTGGGGCCGCTGGCTGGGGCCCAGCACATAACTCTGGGCGGTTGCAGTCTGGGGCAGCAGACACCCAGCCGCTCTGAGCTGAACTGGCAGCATGAAGGTACGGGGCCCTGGGTGGGGGACTCCTGGTGTTGGGGGATCGAGGCCTTTTCATGGAGAGGACCCTGACCAGAGAGGGGACTATGAGAGCACCGGGGGTTCTCCATCCAGCTGAAACTCAGTCTGCGAGGGTGCTGAGCCTGTCCAGAGAGTGGAGTTTCTGGCAGGGGGTGGTGTGTGTTGGGGCAAGTGCTGAGAAAGCAGGAGGACCCTGGGGCCGGAGGGAAGGACTGTGCTGAGATGACCATTTTCCTGCTACCAGGCCCTCCTGGCCCTGCCGCTGCTGCTGCTTCTCTCCACTCCCCACTGCGCCCCCCAGGCCTCCGGGATCCGGGGAGATGGTAAGCAGCCCATTTGCAAATGCAGCCTGGCCAACAGGCTGGGTGAGAGGCTGTTCTGAGCCGTCATTCTGGGAGTCAGCCAGCTTTGCAGGACTCAGTCTCCTGCTCTATAAAACGGGGCAGGTGGATGAGATGACCTTCCAGCATCCCCCTCGCCAAGAAATCTTGCAATTTCTTGACAGAGCACCCTGCCCCCAGGGACAGAGGCAAGCTGTGGGGTGCCGAGGTGTGCGTTGTGCCTTGGCCCCCTCTCCTCATCCTCCCACCCCCACTCCCCAGCTCTGGAGAAGTCCTGCCTCCAGCAGCCCCTGGATTGCGACGACATCTACGCCCAGGGCTACCAGGCCGATGGCGTCTATCTCATCTACCCCTTGGGCCCCAGCGTGCCTGTGCCTGTCTTCTGTGACATGACCACTGAGGGCGGGAAGTGGACGGTGAGTGGGAGGAGGGAGCAGAGGCCCAGCTCTAGTCCCAGTGTGTGCTTCACCTCTGGGCGCCTTAATTTCTTCATCTCTAAAATGGGGATAACAATGCCCAAGGCAGTGTGTGAAATGCTGCCAACTGCATTCTAGGTGCACACAGCCCTCATAATCCTGGGAGGAAGGTACCTCTCATAGACAAGGAACTGAAGCCCAGAGAGGTGACATAACTCACTCAACATCCCACAGCCAGCACAAAGCTCCTACCCTGGTGCCTGAACAGCCACCTAACCTCTTGCCAGCACTCAGCAGCTGCGCCCCGAGTGGTGCCAGTGTGCGCCTTGTTTTAGGCCCCCAGCTCAGTCCTTTAACAAAACACCTCAGTACCATACCTGGGTGAGGCCCCTGCCCCACTGGACCCTTGAAAATCCAGGCCTGTTGTCTCTGCTCCAGGTTTTCCAGAAGAGATTCAATGGCTCAGTGAGTTTCTTCCGGGGCTGGAACGACTACAAGCTAGGCTTTGGCCGCGCCGACGGGGAATACTGGCTGGGTAAGGCGGGTCCCAGGTAGGCTGGGGCTGCCCCAGGGCCAGGTCCTTGCTGACCTGCTGCCCCTCCTCCCCAGGGCTGCAGAACCTGCACCTTTTGACGCTGAAGCAGAAGTACGAACTGCGAGTGGACTTGGAGGACTTTGAGAACAACACTGCCTATGCCAAGTACGTCGACTTCTCCATCTCGCCCAACGCAGTCAGTGCCGAAGAGGATGGCTACTCCCTCTACGTGGCAGGCTTTGAGGACGGCGGGGCAGGTATAAGAAGGGGCAGGTATAAGGACAGCGGGGCAGGTATAAGGAGGGGATGTGGGGAAAAAGCAGGGCTGGCCCTGCCCAGTTGGTCCCTGACCCCCTCAGGGCCCCCCCTCCCTTCCTGGCCTGGAAGGGTCACAGCTGGCTCCCAACCAGCTCAGCCTGGGAGAAGCCACGCCCGCTCCCCTCCATGCAGCCCCCAGGAGCAGCTGTTTCTCTTCCCGGGAGCTCAGCTACCCCGTCTCCGGCTCAGGAAGGGTGTCCCACCCTGCCAGGCTGACACATGGTGGCTCTCACAGCACCACTCATTACTGCAGCCATCACCCTGCAAGCATGGGGCTCAGCTCCCTGCCTCAGCAGCCTACCCCTCTTCTCTGCCAGGTGACTCCCTGTCTTACCACAGTGGCCAGAAGTTCTCTACCTTCGACCGGGACCAGGACCTCTTTGTGCAGAACTGTGCAGCCCTCTCCTCCGGAGCCTTCTGGTTCCGAAGCTGCCACTTTGCCAACCTCAATGGCTTCTACCTGGGTGGCTCCCATCTCTCCTATGCCAATGGCATCAACTGGGCCCAGTGGAAGGGCTTCTACTACTCTCTCAAGCGCACTGAGATGAAAATACGCCGGACCTGAAGGGCTGGCCCCATCAAGCCCCAACGCCCCTCCCGCTGCTCATCTCCATGAGTGCTCCCCTGCTCTGCCTGTGCACCCCCTCTCCTGCGCCTATGCCCCCCACTGCTGTGCCCACTCCCTATGCTAGTTCTGCAGCTCTCTTGGCACCCGCTTCTCATAGGGGGCTTTATGGCTCTAGCCCCAGCTAATCCTGTCACACCAGAGCATCCACCTCTAAGCCAGGCCTCTCCTCCCCTCCACCTGAGGCTATGCTGCCAACCAGCTTCCCAGGCCTCCTCTGAAAGGCGTGCTCAGCCTGGACCTGGCTGGGCTCCACAAGACTCTTGGCTGCCTCAGCCCTGTACTGACACTGTGAGCCAGGAGCTGCTCTTCCAGGCTGCAGGCTCTCATGTTCCACTTTAGCTAGCCTCCTTATGGTGGGCTCATCTGTCGGGGCCAGCCTGGCGTGCTGGTCTGATCAGCACCCAGAGTGTCTAGACCACCTGCCTGACCACCATTACCACCCCAGCAGCCCTCTGGCTGTTCTCAAAGTGTCTCTTATCCTTCGCTTCCCTCCCACCAACTTATTCTCTAGCGGTGAGCACCATGGACCCCCTAGCCCCATCTCACTATCATACTCTGCTTTCCCTGCCCCATCCCAAGCCCCCAAAGCTCAATGCTAAAACTGTTCTTCACCACAGCTACTGCACACCACCCTAAAACAGCCACAATCGAGGTAGGCATAGATATGAAGTCCTCCCACTGGTCAGGGCTGAGGTTTGACCATGTGAGGGGCACAGGACAACTTCTGTGAGGCTGGAAGCAGGTGGGGAGTGGAGGGCTCAATAAACCTCAGGACTGAATGAACTGGCTTTGGCTGTTGTGCATGCAACTGCATTTGTTTGGGCCCCAAAGGTGGGGCCTGGCTCTTCCCTGTTTCCCTACTAACAGCACACTGCTCTCCATTCCAAAAAGATATCTGGAGTTAGGCGCCAGAGGGAGCCTTATATTTCACAGGTCTCATTTTGATGGAAAAAAGAATGACTAATTATAAAATTACACAATAAAAATATAATACTGAAAAGGATCACCGGGGGAATAGGGATTTCCTGATCCTGTCATGGCTCGGTGGTGGCTCAAGTAGCTACTTAAGGCTGTGGGGTGGGTCTGAGATGAACCTGCAGAATAATCCCAAGCCAAGCATCCCCTGCCGGCCCAAGCCTCCAGCCCTTGAGAATGCTCCTGTAGGCCTCGGAGCTAGTCTTCCCTGGCACCGAGGCACAGGCTATGGGCCTCAGGGCTCCTGGAGGTCAGGCAGGTCAGCCAGCAGCATGGGGGAATCCATCTGGATCTCATGCTGCAGAGACTCAATGTCGGAAGGGTTCATGCCATGGCCCTCGAGCCAGTCGGCAAGCAGGGAGGCTGAGAGCGAGGCTGAGTCTGTCTGGCTGCAGGGAAAGGGTGGCAAGGAGAGCTGTTAGCCAAGGCAGGCTCCTCCTACACCAGGCACCCAGTTCTGTTCTAGAAGTTTGGTCCAGCCAACTTACCCATCCTGTGGGCCATCAGCCATGCCCATATCGAAAGACTGGTTTAGGAATTCTTCCAGGTCAAAGCCAACACCATAACCAGCCCCACTGCCCTTTGGAGTGCCTGAGAACACGGGGGGCAAAGGGTCCTCCACCTGCAGGGTACAAAGGCAGGTTACAATGCAGGCACCACCAAGAGCAGACTGAGGTCTGCAGGGAACCCCCTGTCCTGATACTGCTGGAGGCTCTGCCTGGATACCCATGGGTGACAGTGCCAGCCTCGAGCTGGCAGGGGCCATTTCCAGGTCAGGCACTTCCCAGGAAGCATCAAATTTATCTCAGCAAACTGTTCATCAGCATTATGCTCCTTCTATGAGCATGGGCATAAATTTGGAAACAAAACCTATCTGCTGCCCAGTTTTCACAAAATGAGACATACGACCAAACAGCAAGGACTTCCCAAACCCATTTTCCCTGGGCCCATGGCCTGGGTTTCTCCTCTCACCTGAGACTTGGACAGCTGCTGGGTCACCAGGTTGACATCAGGTGACTCTGAGGTGGAGGGTTGAGGGCCCCCCCTGGGGTCTGGAGGGGGTGGGCCAGATGGGAAGTAAGGCAGAACACCCAGGGTACTGGAGCCAGGCATCCCAGGAGGTGGCACAAGTGACTGGGGGGCCAGGAGGCTGGAGGTGGTGGTGGTCTGGAGTGGAGAAGGGCCAGGCCCAGGGGGGCCAGCAGGGTGGGGAGCAGGGCCAGGAGGTGGGCAGGCAGGTTGTGGTGTAGGACCAGGGGTAGAGCCTACAGGTTGCAGTGGGGGTCCAGTGGGCTGGGCTACAGGGCCAGCGGGAGGGCTGGTGGGCTGGGCTGGAGGAGTTGTTACTGTGGCATGGGCTGGTGCAAGGGTGGGGGCTGGGGGCTGGGCCATTCGAGTCCAGCGCTCCAGCAGGCTGCGATCATTGTCACTGAGCACCAGCCCAGCCAGGGGATCGGTAGAAGGGCCTCCAGAGGCCCCAGTCCCTCGCTCCTTGCGCTCCCGCTCCTGCCGGCGCTTTTCCCGCTCCTTTGCTCGCTCCTGCCGCCGCCGCCGCTTCTCTTCCCGTTCGCGCTGGCGCTCCTGGGCTGTCACTGGCTTCCGAGGCTCAGGTGCTTCTAGGGGGGCACTGGGGCCATCTACAGGGAAGTTGGACAGGGGGAAAGTAAGAGCCTATGGCCCTGTATAAGCCCAGAGTCCCTCTTCTGCCACCCCATTCCCCAGTCAGCAGCTGCTCCTGTAAGGCACCTCTGAGCCGGCTCCGCAAGGACTTGAGCAGGGCAGCTTTGAGGGCTGCCTTGGTGTTGTCTGAGATGGCACCTTCCCTCTTTGGAGGGGCTGGTTCACTGGCCAATGGGGGAGGTGGCTGCAGGGTCATATCAATGGTGTCAGATGCTGGGCCAGGGCATGGCAGTGGGGCTGGTGGAGGTGACTCCATGGCACAGTCCCCACTGGGAGCCCAGGAACTGGGCATCTCAATGTCAGGGCAGCTAGGCTCACTGGCCACAGGCTGCAGAGAAGGCTGGAAGCGAATCTGCTGGCGGATGCCCTCACGCCGTGCATGGAAGTCCTCAATCTCGGCCACAATGGCTTCCTTAATCCGCTCCCGGGTGAGGGCTTCTCGGTCAAAGGCAAAGTCAAAGGGCGGGGCACAGTCAGGCTCATCATCAGGGTCATGGTACTTGGCCAAGAAGGGGTGTCGAAGGGCAGCAGCTGCTGAGATACGGGCACTGGGCTCAAAACGCAGCATTCGCCCCAGCAGGGAGAGGGCCTGGCGGTCAGCGCCTGGGTACACTGTCTCCCAGGGCACAGGCTGGCGTGGTGGCAGACTCTGGATATATGCCCGTACCCTTTCAGCCCCTACAGCCTGAATCACAGCTGGCGATGGGGTACCCAGTACCATCATGATCAGCTGCAGCTGGTGCACATAGTTTTTGCCTGGGAAGAGCTGGCGCCTGGCCAGCATCTCACCAAAGATGCAGCCCACGGACCACAGGTCAATAGCTTGCGTGTACTCATGCAGTGAAAGCATGAGCTCAGGGGCACGGTACCAGCGCGTGGCCACATACTCGGTCATAAAGTACTGATGCTCAGCTGGTGAAGTGCACAGGCCCCGCGCCATGCCAAAGTCACCAATCTTGAGCTCACAGTTCTCATTCACCAACAAGTTAGATGGCTTGAGGTCACGGTGGATGACCTGAGCTGAGTGCATGTACTTGAGGCCCCGCAGCAGCTGATATAGGAAGTAGCGCACGTGCTCCAGTGTGAGCGGCTGCGAGGAGTGGATGATCTGGTGCAGGTCACTCTCCATCAGGTCCAAGACCACATAACTAGGAGGACAAGGGAGAGAGGCATGGGCTATCCTGCCCAACCTCCAGCCTCAACCTCACCATGCCCTCCTGACTCCAGACATATAATGGCCTCATACCCTCAGGTTCTGTAGGGGGTCAAGAGCATGATATGAAAATTCTAGAATCTCTACGACTTCTCCACGAACTTAAGTGAAGTTAAATCCCTTTCTCTCCAGATGTACTTCTCCATCAGAGAAAAGACGAGGTTGGACTAAACCAGGGCTGGCCAATAGTTTTAGTTTGGGGGCCATCTCCATTGTTTAGTAGTGGCTACTTGAAGGACTATGGTGAAAACTGGTATCTTGGCCATTTTCTGTAGGAAAGTGTTGTGTGATTTATTAGTGATGTCTGCTACGGGAAAAGGAGGATGTGATTATAGTATGAGTGTCCTACATTTACCACCCTATATACTGAGATTCTACAAAACTGTAACACCTGTACTCTTCTTCCTTTGGCAAAATCCTAAGGGTTCTGGAATTGTGGGAATTTTCCCAGCCTGCCTTACATTAGGTTCAGCTGTCCTTCCAGAACTTTGGCAATACGGTCCCAGCCTTCAGAAAAGGTCCCAATTCTGCCTCCCTCTCCCGCCCCCTCTCCTTACACAGATTTGAACTCGCCATAGGGCACCGTGGGCCTCAGGATGTCCTTGATGGCAATGATGTTGTCATGCTTGAAGTGTTTGAGGATCTTCAGCTCTCTGAGGGTCCGCTTGGCATTAGTCACCACATCAAAAGCATTAGGGATCTTCTTAATGGCCACCTGCTGGCCTGGGGAGCAGAGGAAAGACAGATACTATAAGGTACCTTGGGGCAGCTGCAGAGTGACACAAGGCCCCTTTCAACACCTCCCACCTAGGATGCAAATAACAACAGCTACCATATACTGAATAACAGCAGCTACTGTGTACTGAAAACCTACTAGTGCCAAGCCTTGTGCTAATCACTTTACATACATTATCAGGTTTTCCCTTCACATCTATCTTCTGAGACAGATTAGCTCAAAGTTAGAGATGAGGAAATCTTGTCTCAGAAACTCGCTGGGGGTTGCATAGCTAGTTAGTGGTGAAGTCTAGACTCTATAATGCCTGGCTCATTCTACCTCCCGGCCTCTCTCTCCATCTCAGACCTCACCCATCCCACCACCAATCCTCTGTGCCAGTTCCTGGCTCCAGAACACATTTCTCTTTGAGAAACCCAGGACGGGATCTCTAATCTGGTCTAACTGGGAGTCATTTTTCTAAGGAGGAAGTAGGCTGATGTGCTGGCAAAACCACCATGCCAGAGTTTCTGAGAACTGTGCCCAACACAGCGCCTGGCACCCAGTCTGTTGACTTAAACCAGAATTTGCATCCCAGCTTTCCTTCCCGGCTGTCTGGGACGGGGCAGCCTTCTCACGCCGGGAACCGGCCTCCACGGCTGTGCCGCGCACCAGGGGCGAGCTCACCGGTGAGCCGGCGGCGTGCAGAGGACACCACCCCGTAGGCGCCGTTGCCTATGGTCTCGATGATCTCGTACTCGTCCCCCACGTCAAAGGTCACGTCGAAGGAGCGGGCTTTAAGCAGGGCCAGGTTCTTGGCCGCTACAGAGGCGGCGGTACCGGCGGGTTCCGCCTTCACCGGCCCGGGGGGCTCCCCAGAGCCGTCCTCGCCGTCTTCCTCCTTCAGGGGCTCGGCCATGGCGTCTGCGTGGAAACGCTGGTGAGGAGGCGCCCGCCCCGCCCGGGCCTCAGTTTCCCCTCTGTGAGGCTGGGGAGCAGGACCAGGGAATTTCCAAGTTCCCTACGCCAATGGAGAGGGTAAGAGGCAAAAGAGCGTGGCTGGCCCGCAGCAGACGCCCCGCGCCCGGAACTCGGAGCCGCGCCCGGGACTCGGAGCCCCGAGCTCAGGTCGGGTGGAACGCGGGGTCGGAGGTGGGGGAGGTGCCACAGGCGCGGTCCAGGAAGAAAGGGAGGGGCGGGGCG